AGGGGGAGGGGGAGGGGGAGGAAGAGGAGGAGGAGGACATGGGCTTATATTGGGAACCTGCAATTATGTAATGAGGCTCCCTTGAGGAAATGGTTGTGGCGGCTATTTGGAGCCTGGTACTTAGTGGCTTTGGGTTATCCTTTGTTCTCTCAATTCGTTAAGTGCTCTATTGGAGATGGATCAAATACCTATTTTTGGAGGAATTATGGGTGGAGAGAAACCCACGTGTTCCTTGTTCCATTATCTGATAAGAGGTTACACTCGGTGGCCTCTGTCTTGCCTTCCTCCAATAGTTCTTCTTCTTTGACCCTAGATTTTCTGTCGGGTGCTTTTTGATTGTGAGACTTGCAAGGTTTTTTAGTATTTTCTTCTTTTTTTCTAACCAGGTTACTCGTCTTGGGAGAAGGGATTCTAGATCTTGGGTTTTGAAGCCCTCTTAGGGCTTTTTTCAGTAGTAATTTCTTTTTTCCGGATTCTTTGCCCCTTTCTCCCCCTTAAGGTGTCCCTATGGTTTCCTTTATTTGGAAGGTTTGAATTCCTTAGAAAGTGAAAATTTTTTCTTGGAAAGTTTTGTACGGGAAAATGAACACTCAAGATTGTATCTAGAGGCTTTCCTCCATGTGTTGCAGCCTCAATGGTGTGCCTTTGTAAGAATCAGGAGGGGATCTTGACGGTTTACTACGACATTGTGATTTTTTCACCATAGTGTGGAAAAAGTTCTTTAGGACCTTTGGGATTGGGCTAGCTTGTAATTGAGGATGTTGTTTGATGTTTGAGGAGGTTATCTTGCATCCTCCTTTTCATGAAAAAGGAAAGGTTCTTTGGTAGTCTTGTGTTTTTTTCTCTTTATTGTGGGGCATTTAGCATGAGAGAAATAGTAAAATTTACCATTAGGTGGAACTATGTGGAGAGGATCTTTGGAATACGATTAACTTTTTCTTTTTTGGATTATGACCCTTACTATACTTAGGCGTGGAGAGGTTTTGTTTTTGGGTTTTTTTTTTTGGTATTCAACAATAAAAGAAGTTGTGTCTAGTCTTCAAGTCACTTTGATAGCTCATCTCTTCAAAGGGAAATCTAAATCCTTGTGGCTAAATTTGATTAGAAGGCTCCTATGAACTACCTTGCTAAAGAGAGACAACAAAGCCTTCAATGGAAAGGAAAGAATTTCTCCTATTTATTTGATCTTATTTTGCATAATGCAGTCCCTTTGTGTGGTAATTCTCTGGTTGGGACATTGTGATACTGCCCACCATCCCGTGACATCTATTCCAGGAAAATGCTTGAGATCTTAAGCAATCGCATTACCTTGATAGTCGCATACTTGGGCTGCAGATGTGGGCGGGATTGGTAATTGTGACAAGCTACAAGGCAGGCAACTGTGTTGGGGGAGTCTCCATGATTCAGTAGCCTTTTGATCGACCAACTTGTCAAGCGCCTCTGCCACCCCTTCCCCTCTCGTTGGGTCATGACATATGTACACCCACAACTCCCATTGTGCGGGGAGAGAGTGGATGTCGAGTGGAGCCTAAGGTTGGCTTGCTTTGACAATGCTCATGTAGCTGTTTAGTTGCTTGATTTTTTGAAAAAGTTACTTAGTGGTATTTGTGCCAATTGGAGAGAATTTTAGTAACCCCTCTTACCCTTTTGTAAATTTCATTACATCAACGAAATGATTCTATTTCCATCCCCTCAAAGAGTATGAAAATTTCCTGATTAAGAAGGAATGCATCATTTTCAAGATAAGATTTCGAAAAAGCTTGTGACTTGATGAGTTGAGATTTTTTGACAGGATGTCATGAAAAAAAGGCTTTGGTTCAAATGAAGAACATAGGTCTGAAATTGTTTGCGGTTACCTAGTTGGTGGAAAGATGCATGCACATTTTAACACTTATTTGGCTCTTAATTCAAATTTATTTTTGGTAGGACTCTTTATTTTAAAATTTGTAATTGATTAAAATTTATTATGTAAACATTCTTTATTTTTTATTATTAACACACATTTCGGGTTCTTATGTGAAGTCTTTGTACGCCTCTTGGCTTGGCCTCCTTTTTGTTTTCATAATGAATCTTGGTTTTTTTATCCAAAGAAGAAAAAAAGAGTTAAATTGGACGCATGATAACCCTACCCAACATTAAGTTCATTGAAGGAAAAATATCCCAGGAATTTAGTTTGGCCATGGATAGAAGGAAGGAGGATTATCCAAAGGAGGTTTTAATTGCCTCTCTAAGTTTCCATCAATTAGGAAGAGGCTTTTTGTACAGGGATTTTGCCGATTGAAATTATTTCTCTATTATTATTATGTCTTAACTTTTTTATTTCTCAAGGCAGTGGTACCAGAACCCAGCATCTTGAAAAATCAAGGTTCCTTCCAATCAAATCTGTGTTTTCCTTTCTTCTTCCAGGACTAAAAGTTGTCCAATTTGGATTTTTGTAAAATTTTGTGGAAAGCTACCACTTCCGAAACGTGTGAAGTGTTCTTATGGGGTTATCTGTTTAGGTGGGATCAAGAGAAGCGATAAGGTGCGACACGGGAATCTGTGTACGTCCCTCCAAATCAATTGGTGCTGTTCTTTAAGTTTTTTCTGGGAAGGTTGGTAGATAGTTCTTTAGAAGAAGTTCGGGAGGGGTGGGGTTTAGCGCCTCTTTATGGGCGTACTTTGTACGTCCCTTTACAATTATTTGCTCAATTCTTTTAGATTGGAGCCTGTTCTTGTAGCTAGTCGAGGTTTTTTTTGTGGTCTTGTTTTTTTTTGTATGCTCTTTTATATTCTTTCATTTTTCTCGATGAAAGCTTGGTATTAAATTTTTTTTTTTGTTTATCTCTGTTAAAGACTGGTGCAAATTTTGAGTATCTTCACAGATCACCAAACATCATCCAAAATCGTGAAAAATTCGCTTTCTTAGGCCTTGGTAGTGATGGCTTAAGAGATAAAGCGGTTTTGTGGGACAAAATCTTTTTTTTCCGTCCTTTGGGAATTGGGAGTCATGATTTGAGAGAAACAAAAAGAACTAACTCTCGGTATCTCAAGTTTAAGTTTGTTTCTGTTCTCTTTTGGATAATTATTCCCTCAACAATGATTGTTTTTAGTGGAGGCCTCAATTTGAAATAAACTTTGTATTTTTCATCCTTCACTGAAATATCATTTCTTATTGAAAAAATTTGATGCCCAAGTACTGATTGTTGGTGAATATGGGGTTCTGTGTCCTTTTGGATTCAAGATTTCAAGCCATGGTTCATGAATAAGTGCTGGTGATTAAATGCCGAAAAGTACCTTTGAGTAGGTGTAAATGCTACACCCACCATGGAGCATGATGCCTTAAAAGATATGGTAGAGATATATATGATAGATATTTCATAAAGATCTGATAAGATATATATGGTGGATATTTTGCAAAGATTTGGTAGAGATATATTTGATAGATTATATTTCGTAAGTGATTAAATATGTTAAATCCAATAAGATGTACTTTCTTCCTTCTCTGTATTTTCTCTGGACTTACATGCCTGAAGTTATCCCTAAAATCTTTAGCCAATATTCCTCCTTGAATTTTCTCTCTCTGGTTCTTCTCCGGTAGTCTATTGTCTTGGAACCTTTCCCTTTTCTGATTTCATTAGATTAAACCTTTTCCTCTTTTCAATTACATTTGTCAATGGATTCTACACTTACCCTTTAAAAAGTGGCTCGGAAATTTTTGTCAAGACTTTTTTTGTGCTTCGTTTCTGTGTTCCTTTATTTATTTTATTTATTTCCATCTATCACATATTAGAATTATTATAGACATAAAATCACCAATCAGTCCGTTATCATTTTATTGATATAGCATTTCCTCCCCTTCCTTTCAAATATAATTGGTGTCTCTTACCTCTTTTTTTTATTTTGTATTAGTTTGTATTAAGAGACAATTGCATTGGTGATTGAAATTTACAAAAGGGATGTATAATCCATGATGTTTACATAAAACCTTCCCAATTTGCAACGAGGGAGGTATAACTATAGGAAGTAAAAATATTAGACACTTGACACCAATATATAGCTTGGTAAACAACATTGTCAAAAAGTTTTGTGTAGGTCTATGTCTTTTATGCGAAATATTCTCGGATTTCGTTCTTTCCACATATTCCAAAAGAAAGCCATGATGAGGTTTTTTCATAATAAGGCTTCTGCATTCTTGAAAGGGTGGTACGTTAAGGCCATATCCAAAACTTTCTTTACCTCTCTAGGAAATGTGAGATGCCATCTGAATATATTGAGAATTGTTGTCTAGAAATTCTAAGTGTATGTGCATTGCATAAACAAGTGGCTTTGTGATTCGTTTTCTTTCTTGCATGATGGAGTCTCTTACATTTTTTTTCTTCATACTATAACACTATGACATGTTCATCCAAATACAACACTACAGGAGAAATGATATGAACCAAGACATCAATCATGCAATATAAACTTCAAGGAAGATGTGAAGAAAATGTTGTCAAAGTTATCAAAAAGATGTTTCAATTCATGCCACATTAAAAAAGAATGAAGTTTCATTGTTATAAATTTTGGTGGATCATAATTTAGAGTTATGATATTTTATTAATGTATTTTAGGACTTTTTATTTACTTTGGGTTACATTTACGTAATGGTTAATTATAGCCATAAAGTGTGAATGTTACAATTCTTGGAATGACTTTAATAGTTTTCATTTTGATGCTATATAAAGCTAGGTATGTTGTATTTGTAAGTAGACTCGAAAAATATAGTAAAAGAAGCATTTGTGCATTCTTTAGCCAATGACTAAGTTTCTTTGCAATTCTATGTAGTTTAGGTTGCATGTAGAATCATTCAAGCTTGACATGATCAATCTTGTTTGTGAAGTAATTCGAATCTCAAATAAGTTTGATCAACCATAATCATTCAAGCAAGATTGATCATGTCAAGCTTGAATGATTCTACATGCAACCTAAACTACATAGAATTGCAAAGAAACTTAGTCATTGGCTAAAGAGAGCACAAATGCTTCTTTTACTATATTTTCCACCTCTACTTACAAATACAACGTATCTCACTTTTTATAGCGTCAAAATGAAAACTTTTAAAGGCGTTCCAAGATTTGTAACATTCATACTTTATGGCCATAATTAACCATTATGTAAATGTAACCTAAAGTAAATAAAAAGTCTTAAAATACATTAATCAAACATCATAACTCTAAATTATGATCCACCCAAAATTTATAGCAACGAAACTTCATTCTTCTTCAATGTGGCATGAATTGAAATATTTTTTTGATAATTTTGACAACATTTTCTTCACATCTTCCTTGAAGTTTATATTTCATAATTGATGTGTTGTTCAGATCAAAGAAACTATGCTTCACGTTAATTAAGAATCAAGATTGATTAAAGAACTGGCATAAATGATTTTTTTTTTCCTAATTCAGGTATCTCTGGCAAGACTCTACTTAAAGTCAACACCATGCCAATACAAAAATCAAATATTGACCAGTTGGAATCTGATTTGAGCCAGCCTAAATTGGAAAGATCAAAGACTGAGGTGCACAAACAGAAGTTTCTTGCTGAAGAGGCAGCTAAAATTTTTGATGACAATATTTCTGCTCATAGAAAGGTATTATACTTCGGAAACAAATTATCTTGCCTAACGTAAGGTATAATGCAGATTACAATTTAGTCTTGCAGGGCTCCACCTAGATGTTTTATATTGTTCTCTTTTTCCTCTTTAGTTTTCTTTAAACATAATTTCATTTAGATAGCTCTTTTTAGGTTACTGGAAGATATCTATTTGGTGCAAATGATGAATTTTAATTAATTCCCTATAAATCAGCCTCTCCTTGATTATTGAATCTAACGGACCTCGTCTAGATGCTTTATAAGCTTGCAGTATAATATACCTCCTTTGCTATGTATATTCTTCTTTTGTCTTGAGGATTCCTCACTCTTGAAAAATTTATTCAACTGAAATGGAGAAATAGGATATTATAACCGATCTTGAAAGAACAAAATCTTGGAAATTTTATTATATTCATCCCAGACAAAGCTGGATATTTAAAGAGAAATGTAACGAATCAGTATTATATAAAAAAAAAAAATGCGAGGTCGTCGGAGGATGTGAAAATTCTGGCGATCGTTGGAATTTTTGGATCTCACATGACCACGACCTGCAGGACGCCCTAGAGTCCCTCTCTCCTCCAGCCTTTAGCCATCACCTCTGGCCACCTATAGAGGAAGAAAAGAAAAGAAAAATCGAGAGAGAGAAACCTGAAGATTTTCGGCAAGTCGAAAAACCTCAACCCTGGCGCCTACACCGAGCAAACCAACCGTGAAAGCCCTCACCGACCTTAGTATATTCACCCAGAGCAGATTCACACCGTGCATCGCTGTCATCACCGTCGGAGAAGGAAATTCGGAAATCGAATTTTTGGACAATCCCTGATCCACCTCCATCGACGTCCATCCACGAAATTTTATGGGAGAGAGGAGGAGAAGCAAATAGAGAGGAAGAGGAAGAAAAAGGACGGAAAACGACGTCGGAAACCATTGCGTAGAGGAGAGAGAAATCGGCTTCGGAAAAATCGCATTGAGTCGGGAAAGGAAGACGACTCCATCGGATCTGGGTCGGATTCGAACCAGATACCCGCGACCCAAACCGCGCCGGCTCAGCTTGACTTGCAGCGACCCATGCCGCAAGCCCAGCGCAATGCCTCTGCAACTCGAGAATCGATAACTCGAGAACCCAAAACCGAGTCCGGCCTACAACTGAGACCCACGGTCCTGCTTGCTAACCCACGACCCAAACTCACCTGCGGCCCAACCTGGGAACTGAAGGCTAGTAGCCCACCTGCAGCCGATGACTCGCAAGCTAACCCAAACCCTGACCCGAACTGGTCTACAACCCACGCCTTGACCCGAGACGCTTGCGCTGTTGTGGCTCACCCTGCTGCTGCCACGTGTCACCCAGCGGCGCAAGCAGCTATTCGGCTCGGTGGCTTTCCGGCGGCTCCTGGTAGCTTTTTGAACTGTTCAGCTCGGCTTTTCCCATTTTAGCTTGGTTTATACCGTTTCGACCCTTCCGAACCTTTTTTCAGTCCCGATTAAGGTAATTAAGGCTGTTTTAGTGCCATATTTCACAATAATTAGTTGGATTAAAAATTAAATTATGAAATACTAACGAAAGGTGACGAACGGTGTGATAAGAAACGAACCCTGACAATCTTTGAAGTAGCTTTCGAAGAACAGGAACTTACATAATTAAATTAGGGAGTAGTACGGCTAAGGCCAACCAAGTAAATGACCTTACTCTAGGATATGTTAGAAATTGTATGAATTATAATTTATGACGTATGAGCTATGATGATGTATAAGCTATGATGTTGTATGAGCTATGTTGATGTATGAGCTATGATGATGTATGAGCTATGATGCATGATGATGTACGAGCTATGATGCATGATGATGTACGTGAACTATATTACGATGTATGACGTACTTGATATGTTTGATGGCGTTATGATGAGTATGATGATTGCATGATATTTATCTTAATATGTTGATGTTTTTCATATTAAACATGTTATATGATGATGAGTGCCATATTGCATCATGTCCATCGACATAGAGAAATTTTTTGTCCAATTTTTTAAAGTCACCTTGAGGTTGAGAAAAGGTGGTACGTCAATAGGGATTAAAGTCACTTTGAAACTTTTTAAGAACCAAATAGAAATTTCGAACATCAAGGACCGAAGTAATTTGTCCAATTTTTTCAATACCAGGCACACATTCATGTTAATTGCGTAAAATTCCTTGAGTAAGGTTTTCCTAGTCTAACTTTTTAAACCTGTACAGCTGAAATTGTTAAACAGAATAGCGACAGTGAAAGATGATGGAACTGTGGAATTTGAAATCCCTGTAGACGTTGCAGCACCTCTTGGCATTGGTGCAAAGGAAGTCTCTCATGATATTATTGAAGAAGAACCTCTTGAAGCAACAGACCTCCAAGATATTCCACCTTTGCAAATAGTAATGCTTATTGTTGGAACACGTGGAGATGTACAGCCATTTGTAGCAATTGGAAAGCGTCTACAGGTATGTAAGCTTCTATGAGTATCCCTTTTATTTTGTTTGCTAAACTATTTACTTCCAAACATGTTTGGAGCATTTCAGCAATCGTTTTTAGTCCCCTCCGACCTTTTGGTGGTTTCCTTTTGCTCTGTACTTTGCTTTATTTCACCTCTTTTAAGAGTTTGTTTTGTTATATTTTTTTTATTATATCAATGAGAAAGTTGAAGTTTTACTGGAGAATAAAAAAAAAAAAAAAAACGCCCAAGGAAGGTAAGCTCCAACTCTAATAGTCCAGATTCTCACAGGGAAGGTAATAGAAATATAAGTCTACTGAGAAAGGAAGCCCACTCTCTCTCTCTCTAAATTGTTCGATAGTTTAAAAAAAATGAGTAGATTGATTCCAGAATCTTTAAGGCTTTTCAGAATCAGCTTTATATAAAGCTGCTTAGAATCATTTTGAAATCTCAACGGGTAGATGGTATCGAAGCCATACCCTTAACTTACCCATGTCAATAGAATCCTCAAAGATTCACGTCAAAAGTGACTCAAGGGTGTACTTTGTTCGAGGACTCCAAAGAAGGAGTCAAGCCTCAATTAAGGGGAGGCGGTTTGAGGGCTCCATAGGCCTCAGAGGAGACTCTATAGTGTACTTTGTTTGAGGGAAGGATTGTTGGGAGGGAATTCTACATTGGCTAATTTAGGGAATGATCATGAGTTTTTAAGTAAGGAATACATCTCCATTGGTATGAGGCCTTTTAGGGCCCAAAGCAAAGCCATGGAGCTTATGCTCAAAGCGGAGAGTCGTGATTCTTAACCGAGATGGAATATTAATACTCAACTTCTTGGTGGTCGCTTCTGCAAAGACAAGAAGAGTGTCTTTTAGGTGTTGTGGCATCTTTTGCTATTCTTGGCCGGAAAGAAATTGAAAATTATTCCAAGGGTTAGGGACTTCTTAAAAGGAAGCGTGAGATCTCTTTTTTTTTTGTAGGCTGATTGTAGGCTTCTTTGATCCATTTTATATATGCTTACCATATTTTGACGATCATAGTCAATTTGAGAGTCCATTTATAACTTCAGGGTTTTTTGAAACTTGTAATACTTGCTCATTGACAACTCGATTCACAGGAGTTACCATTGACCTAGACCATTTACTTCAAAAAACCAGTCATAAAACCATAACATTTTCATACCTAACAAGTAAAGTTTTCAACAGTGAAAGCACATATACATAAGAACAAACTACAGGGAACGTTTCCATGAAATTCGTTTCCCGTTAAAAATGATATAATGAAGGTGCGAATCAATCATTTTTATTCAACATTTTTGAAGTAATTTGTTCTCATGGGCAGTTACAATGATTGCAGGATTATGGTCATCGTGTTAGACTTGCTACTCATTCAAATTTCAAGGAGTTTGTTTTAACTGCTGGGCTGGAGTTTTTTGCTCTTGGTGGAGATCCTAAGATTCTTGCTGGCCGTAAGTTCACCTCTATATTTTTAAGTTTGATGGCCTATGCTTTAACATCTTTCTTAGCTCAAGCATGGGATAAATTAGAGGTCATAGAAATTAAATTTGAACCATCACAAATGAGATAATGATTGGGGAATGACTAGTTTGTTGTCGACGTCTTCTACGAAAAAGGTATCTTCTTCGAACCAAATGCAAAAATAAGTATTGTTGACACAACATCTTCTTAATTCCATATCTCTAATTAGCAACCAAGCTAGTAACTAACTTTGAAAAAGATGATTCCTGAAGAGGAAGCTGTAGCCTGCGTTAATGAAAAAGAACTGATTAGACCTTCCATTATTTTTAACTGGTGGAAATGTATTCATTATGGCTCTGTTGGTAATTCTTTGGTTTTTTTATTATTTATATTTTTCATTTCAATTTTTATCTTCACAGTTCATATTTGATTCACATATTCATGATCTTAGGAGCCCTTGGATTGTCTATGAACAGTTCTTTATAATTTGTATATGGTATTTGTTGCATTTTCATATTTTATTTTCAGAGATCAGGTAACAAACCCCTAAATAATACTAGGTAACTAAACTAAATAAATCCAACCTGATAGATTAGGGAGATTAGGGAGATCGACTACTTCTCTTATTGAATGGGATTACACAAATATACTTCTAACACTCCTCAAATTGAGTAATAGATATCATTCATTCTCTGATTACTAACTCATGAATTTCACACATATCTCTGACTTAAAGGCTAATTCTTCAACACTCCCCCTCAAGTTGAGAATGAATATATTACTTAACTTGGACTTGATAGGTTTATGTGCAATATTGATTGCACGACTTTGATGACATGACTTCAATGTTAAGGCACAACTTCAACGGAAGCTATGAAGACTCCGAATAAATTTGTCAACGATAGCTATGAAGATTTCGAATAAATTTGTCCACGATAGTTATGAAGGTTCCGAATAAATTTGTCAATAGTATCTATGAAGGCTCTGAATAAATTTGGTTAAGGTGAGCGATCCAGAGGTATGAACATGGAATAAATTTGTCAATGGTAGCTATGAAGTCTCCGAATAAATTTGTCAATGGTAGTTATGAAGGTTTTGAATAAATTTGTCCATGGTGAATTTGTCCAAGATAGCTGTGAATTCTCCAAATAAATTTGTCAATGGTAGCTATGAACGCTCTGAATAAATTTATCAATGATAGTTATGAAGTTCTTTTGTTAGCACATTTGAAGCCGTGAGAGCACATAATGTTAGGTTATGGAGTCTACTGCTTATTTATAGGTTACTCAATGGTTATGTATGATAATGCTATGTTAGGTAAATGACATATATAGTAAATGGTAATATATAGTAAATAGATATGTATAGTAAACAATTATGTAATAATTATATATAATAGATGGTTATGTATAGTAGATGACTATTTTTAGTAAAGTTATATATAGTAAGCTAAATCTTACATATACCTCTTTTGAAAATGTACTTTCTGCCTTCCCTGTATTCTCTATTATTATAGATACTTAAAGCTATCAACCTCTAAACAATATTTCTCCTTGCATTTTTTCTCTTCTATTTTTTTGTGTTCATCTAGATTGAGTGTGTGCGTTGTTATGCGGTCCTAAAAACTGGTATCAGAACTAGGAGATATTTACCACGATTTGTGAAAATGGAAAGCTAAAAAATTGGAACGAGAAGTTTGATGGACGATTTCAGTTTCTGAAAGATGTGGATGGAAGATTATCTGTACTAGAAAGATCTTCACGAACCCTTGTTTGGGGTGAAGCCATATATCATGACCTTGCAGCAGTAGAAGCTCAAGGATCGACAAACTCTAGGATTAATCCGGTTGATGATGTCCAGAATTGTGGTGTTCAACATTATCAAGGAGAAGACAACGTTGGATCTCTTATGAACAAGGTGTATTTGATGCGTAGATTGTTTAATCTACAATTGTTTGAAGGTGAATCGGTTGGAAATCATATAAATGAATTCAATATGATTGTAAGTCAACTGAGCTATGTGGAAATTAGTTTCGAAGATGAAATTAAAGCATTGATTTTGATGTCATCTTTACTCGAGTTATGAGATATTGTTGTTGTTGCAATCAACCGTTCTCGGAGATCTAAGAAATTGAAGTTTGATGATATTCGAGATGTAGTTCTCAGTGAAAGTATTCATAAACGAAAAATTGGAGATTCATTAGGCAATGCTCTCAGTGTTGATCGAAGGGAAGAAGTAATTTGAAGTAATTTGAAGGGTCTAAACATACATGGCCAATGAAAAAAACAAAAACTAAGACATCTCCAAACAGGCCAAATGTAATGTGTTGGAATTGTGGAAACAAGGACACTTTCCAACATAGTGTACAAAAACAAAGAAGAAACATAATCACAAATCTAAAGATGACCATGATTGTGTATATTCAGAAGAAGATATTGAGGATGCTCTTTAGTGTGGACAACCCAACTGAATCCTAGATTTTGGATTTAGGTGCATCTTTTCAATCATCTCCGAACAAGAAATTGTTTCAAAATTTCAAATCTGAAAAATTTGGGAAAGTGTATCTTGCCAACAACAAATTTTTGGAGATTAAAGGAAAGGGAGAGGTCTGCATATAAACTCCAACAAGAAATCAATGAACATTGAAAGATTTTAGATATATTCCTGGTCTCAAGAAAAATTTGATGTGTATTGGTCAGTTGGATAACATATGTTATGCAATAGAAATTGGAAGGAGTTCGTGGAAAATTGTGAAGGGTTCTATGGTGGTAGCACATCTGGAAACTTATACACCATTGTAGGGTGTATAAACATGGTTGCTGTTGACACAATAAATTTGGACATATGAGCATTAAAGGAATGAAGATGCATGCTGCGAAAAGAGTTAGTTTCTCAAAGGCTGCCAGAGAACGGGAGAAAGTACGGTTGGAAATGGTTCATATAGATGTTTGGGGACAAGCTCCAATTCCATCACCTGGTGGATCCAAGTTCTATGTCACCTTCATTGATGATTTTAGCGAGAAAGTATGAGTTTATTTTCTGAAACACAGGTCAGACGTGTTTGTCATCTTCAAGAAGTGGAAAGCTGAAGTTGAAAGTAAAATCGATTTGAATATCAAATGCATTAGGTCTAACAATGGAAGAAAGTACGACAAGTTAGAATTAGCATTTATTTTGTGTAGTTGAGGGGATTAAATTAATGAGAGTAATTCCCGGTAAGACAAGACAAAATGATATTGTTGAAAGGATAAAGAGAACATTGAATGAGTGGACAAGGAGTATGGGGATTCATTATGGATTGGCGCTCCGAAATGACCCCCTTTGTGAATAAAAAGGGGATACAAATATAAAATGAAATACAAATATAAAGAAATTTGCAAAAGACTCCAAACAATCGAAAAGGGACTGAGGCTCCGAAACGACCCCCTCTGTGACCGTACAGCTCTCGAACGCTCCTCTACCTCGACCGGCAGCCTACGAACACCTGAAAAAAATAGGAAAAAATGGGATGAGTATAAAAATTATACTCAGTAAGCCACCTACTTGTAGGCTCTCATCGCATCCTAACTTAACAAAGTTTCCACGGTTTTCTAATTGGCTCTAGGACGTCTGGTTCTGGTCGTAGTCCCTTTAGGGCTCGCCCCTTGGGACTTGCTCTATGGAGCTTCACTGGTTCTCCGTCCTTTCATTTGATACTTAAGGGTCCCTTATGCTAAGTTGACATGACCGACGTCTCTCTATGAGGTGCTACCTCTGCGTAGCTATCTGAAACTACATGGAATCTAGCCTAGGGGTGTGCTGAGTACTCCTAAGCCCATGACAGTCCCCTGGGGGGCGTGATCCAACCCATTCCCGTGCAGCTAATGGGTTGTACGACGTGGGGACACATTTCCCATGCGAAACGGCTAGGAGCAGTAAGAACTAATTAGGAACCTCTGGTTCTCCCACGGAGCTATAGAGACCGTTCAGACAATAGCTATAGTGTGAAACGTCTCTATAGCTCTGTGGGGGAACCAGAGGTTCCTGATCATTTCTCACTACTCCTAGTCGTTTCGCATGGGAAATGTGTCCCCACGTCGTACAACCCATTAGCTGCACGGGAATGGGTTGGGTCGCGCCCCCCAGGGGGCTGTCATGGGCTTAGGAGTACTCAGCACACCCCTAGGCTAGATACCATGTAGTCTCAGATAGCCATGCAGAGGTAGTGCCTCATAGAGAGACGTCGGTCATGTCAACTTAGCATAAGGGACTCTTAAGTATCAAATGAAAGGACGGAGAACCAGTGAAGCTCCATAGAGCAAGTCCCAAGGGGCGAGCCCCAAAGAGATTAAGACTAGAACCAGACGTCCTAGAGCCAATTAGAAAACTGTGGGAATTCTGTTAAGTTAGGATGCAATGAGAGCCTACAAGTAGGTGGCTTATTGAGTAAAATTTTTATACTCATCTCATTCTTTCCTATTTTTTTTTCAGGTGTTCATAGGCTGCCGGTCGAGGTAGAGAAGCGTTCGAGAGCTGTATGGTCACAGAGGGGGTCGCTTCGGGGCGTCAGTCCCTTTTCGGTTTTTTTTGAGTCTTTTGCAAATTTCTTTATATTTGTATTTCATTTTATATTTGTATCCCTTTTTATTCTTTGAAAATTTAACTTCTCTGTCTTTGGTTTCAAGTCTTTAATGGATTTGCCTCTTTTGTTTTAAATTCTTATTTTTATTTGTTTTTTATTTTGTCTTCTTGGTCAAGGTCCGATTTTTGAAGCCTAAAAAATCGTGACAAGAAACTTCTGAAATTGTTGTTGAGGAACCAAAGGTGGAGCAAATGATACTTGAGTAGGTGTTGAGAGGATCATCCAAAACCAACTAAGCACTAGATAGATATTCACCTTCATTACACTATCTATTGCTCATTACACTATCTATTGCTGACTGATAAAAGGGAGCTAGAATTCTTTGATGAGGCCTTACAGTTGGAGGATACAACCAAGTGGGAGCAAGCCATGAATGATGGGATCAGTTGGATGTCTAGGTTTTAGAATTATGTTGCTCGTTCATCTACTGAGGTTGAATACGTGACAATAGATGAAGCTAGAAAGAAGATGATATGGATGACAGACTATTTGGAAGAATTAGACGAGAAAATTCTTTGTACAGATAGAGTGTTTGGAGAATATAGAGGGTGCAAAGAATCCAACAAATATGTTGACAAAATGTGTTGATGTTGGAAAATTGAAGTAGTGCAAAGCCTTAGTTGGTTTGATGCAGTGAAGATGACCGTGGTGATGAGAATCGTTTGAGAATGAAATTCTTGTCTCCAAGTGGGAGAGTTGTTAAGTCATGGAGCTAGCTCACTCAATGGTTATTAGTAAGATTATATATAGTAAATGATTATATATATCTATATCTATATCTATATATATATATAGTAAACCGCTATATCTAGTAAAGCTATATATGCTAAATTGAATCATATATATATATATACTCCATAAGTAGTGCTTTGAAGATGTAGTTTCTGCATTCTCTATACTCTTTATTACTGTACATACCTGAAGTCATCAATATAAACCTCTAACCAATATTTCTCCTTCAATGTTCATCTACATTGAGTGTGTGAGTTGTTGTGCAGTCCTAACACATAGCTCACACATACTATCCCTTGAAGCACTTTAATCGGCGTTGTTTGCCTCTCTTGTGCTCACTCTTGTTGGAGTACTTCCACGAATGTTGCTCGTCTCTCTCGTGCTCACTCCTGTTGGGACACTCTATGGTTTGGTAACTCTGCGACAGTAGGGTTGGGGACTCATAATCTATGAAATAGGCTTTCCGTAGCGGCTTTTCTTATGGTACCGTCCAATTCTTCCATCTGAAAATTAGAGTTTAGAGCTAAACTCATGAATTACACAAATATCTCTAACTTAAGGCTAATCCTTCGAGTGTTTTTGAATCTAAGTGTTGTATTTCCTGTCTGAAGTTGCCTTCGCTTTTGAGCGTAGATATAACGTAATGACTTAAATATTTTTCCGATGATCATTCGAATGATTGAATATTTATGCAATTCATTTTTGTAACTTCTTTTAGAGAATTTCCATTAATAGTTCCGTGATCATTGTATTACCTTATGCAACAGACATGGTAAAAAACAAAGGTTTCTTGCCCTCGGGGCCTTCTGAAATACCTGTTCAAAGGAATCAAATGAAGGAAATCATTTATTCGCTACTTCCAGCTTGCAAAGAACCTGATCCTGAAACTGGTATTTCCTTCAACGCAGAAGCTATCATTGCCAACCCACCAGCTTACGGTAAGACCTTGCCACTAACTATTTTTTTTGTTTTTTTCCCTTTAAAAGTAACAATCAAGGAGCGAGGTTACTTTGGTATGATATTCGCCACTTTGAACATATGCTCTCATGGCTTTGCTTTGGGTTTCCCCAAAAGTCCTCGTACCAATTGGAGATATATTCCTTATAAAACTCATAATCATTCCCTAAATTAGTCAATGTGGGACTCCCTCCCAACAATCCTCTCTTCGAACAAAGCACACTATAGAGCCTCCCCTAAGGGCTATGGAGCCCTCAAACAGCCTCCCTTTAATCCTTTAATCGAGGCTCGACTCCTTCTCTGGAGTCCTTGAACAAAGTACACCCTTTGTTCGGTCTTGAGTCACTTTTGTCTACACCTTTGAGGCTCACAACTTCTTTGTTCAACATTGAGGGTTTTATTGACATGGCTAAATTAAGGACATGACTCTGATACCATGTTAGAAATAACAGACCTCGACATTTTCCACTTTGAGCATATGCTCTTATGGTTTTGCTTTGGGCTTCTCCAAGAGGGCTCGTACCAATGGAGATGTATTCTTACTTATAAAACTCATTATCATTCCCTGAGTTAGCCAACGGGGACTCCCTCCCTACCTTCCTCAACAACCTTCTCTTCATTTTGTTATTTACTATCCTTTTGCTTGATATTTGTGGAAAATATTAGTCCTCTTTACTTCTCTCTCATCTTGGGCAGGGGAAATTTTGAATGATTTCGGCACATTTTTCCTTTTTCCTCTCTTAATTTGTTATTTTTGTGAAGAAACTCTTTGCCGTAACCTCTTCAATGCTTTTGTAGGACATACTCATGTAGCAGAGGCACTTAAAATTCCAATTCACATATTTTTCACAATGCCATGGACGTAAGTTTGCCCTACACAGTGTACTTTTTTATTTTTTTTTTGACAATCTGGAGATACTATAATTGAGTCGCATTGTGTAATATTTACCTATATTTGAGCTATATGCCTTGTGAGAGAGTTTGAATCGTGCTATTTCCTCCTCTTGCCAGGCCAACAAGTGAATTTCCTCATCCTTTATCCCGTGTCAAGCAACAGGCTGGCTATCGGGTAGTTCAATTATGGTGTTGCCTTCTGCTTTTACACACACACACCATACCAAATTTTTTTCCTTCTTCTTTTCATTTTTTATGCCTTCATCGAACCTAACTTGACTTCGACCTTTTTTAATTTCCAGCTCTCGTATCAAATTGTCGACTCCTTAATTTGGCTTGGGATACGAGACATGATTAACGATCTTAGGAAGAAAAGGCTGAAGCTACGACCTGTTACTTATTTAAGTGGTTCACATGCCTCTGAATCAAGTGTACCACATGGGTATATATGGAGCCCACATCTTGTTCCTAAACCAAAAGGTTTGTTCTTGTAATGATGAGTTGTTCTTTCTACTGTAAAGCAATGTTAACAAGTTACTTTTTTCTTGATCATCAAGCACATAGAATCTTATGATTCTAGCTTTAAACTTGGGTTTTTTTCCAGATTGGGGGCCTAAGGTGGACGTGGTCGGATTTTGCTTCCTTGATCTTGCATCAAGTTATGAACCTCCTGAGTCGCTCGTAAATTGGCTTAAGGCTGGTGACAAGCCCATTTATATCGGTTTTGGTAGCCTTGTGAGTATTTCATATTATTCCTTCCGTTTAATTTGATATTTCAGCCTTTTAAAGTTTATATTTTTCTGCATCAAAAGCTCCCCTTTTATTGGGGCAGTAGGCATAAAAGAGTTGGTAGATTTTTGTTTTATTTTATTTGGTTGTGAAATGAAACTTCCATCACGAATCAATTGTACAAACTTCAATGTGATGCCCCGGCTAATTCGGTAAACATAGTGGTGAGGATTGCGAATCGTTTAATTCTCTGGTTCCCTCTTCTTGGAAGATCCTTTAGTTCCTTTCTTGTCAAATATTCCATTTTGCACCATCATTTCGCCTACTCTCCTTTCATTTTCCTAACCTATCACTGTTTGAAAATCCTTGTGAACTGAAGTTAGGAAGATGTGATCTCCTAACTAAAAAACACTAAAATTCTTAGTCAATTTGGGAATCAATCTTGAAGGAAGGTTAGGATTCGGACTGCCTCAATAATCAATGATGAAAGTTAAGAATGCAGGTTCCTTTCCTAAGATTATAACACTTTGTAACGGCCCAAGCCACCTCTAGCAGATATTGCCCTCTTTGGGCTTTCTCTTTCGGGCTTCTCCTTAAGTTTTTTAGAACGCATCTGCTAGGGAGAGATTTCCACACCCTTATAAAGGATGTTTCGTTCTCCTCTCCAACCGATGTGGGATCTCAGAATCCATCCCTTTGGGGGCCCAATGTTCTTGCTGGCACACCACCTCGTGTCCACCCCCCTTTGGGGCTGCTGGCACACCACCTCGTGTCCACATCACCTAGTGTCTGGCTTTGATACCACATCATCAAACTCCTTTGAGGGGTCTTAAGCTCTCAACTGTGGAGCATTGTTTTTTTCCCCCCCCTTTTGAACCGGATACAAATTTTTCATTGATTAATGAAAAGAATAAAATGTTTGAAGTTACAAACTCCCAAAAGGAATTGAAAAAAATTTACAAAAACAACCAACACAGTTACGTAGAAGCCTAAGATGAGTGAGTAAAAGCACTTTAATTAATACAAATGTCTCAAGGAGAAAAGACTCATCTAGAATTGTTAGTATCATCTAGAAACATCTCATGAATATACAAATTTTTGTTTATCTGATTCTCAAGATACAGCCTTTTAGGTAAATGGTCTTCTCACGTTCTTAATCTAGTTTTCATTGTATGTCAGCCTGTTCAAGAACCTGCAAAGATGACCCAAATAATTGTAAAAGCGCTGGAACTTACTAGACAGAGAGGCATCATCAACAAAGGATGGGGCGGTCTCGGAAATTGTAAGTTTCTAAACTTTTGTTGCCTGGAAGTAGTACAGCGTCTGGAAGATTTAATTTATTTAGCTTAAATTTTATTTTTTTTCCAGTGGAAGAACCAAAGGACTTCGTATATTTATTGGACAACTGCCCTCATGATTGGCTATTCTTACAGTGCAAGGCTGTGGTGAGTATATGTAGTTGAGTTCATATCAGAACATTATTATACCTCATTAAAAATAAGAGATCTATACAAAGTACGGTTCTAAGATACATAATCTTCACCTAAAAGAAGCAGATAAAACAAATAAACTCGGCTTCTTTATATTATCGTTTCCCATTTCTTCTCCTCTTTTCTTTTTTTGTATTAAAAAATATTCTCGACCCTTTTCTTGTGAGATTTTCTTTTCCGAAGAATAATAGATCTCTTGGGATATGGAGCTTGATGCATCTGGTAGAGATATACAGGGTAGATATTTATATTATATTTTGGAGGTGGTTATATCTGTTAAAGTTATATTTAGTAAACAGAAACCATATATATACCTATTAATCAGTTCTTCCAAAATGTACTTTTTTTCACTCTGTATTCGTGTTCATGTTTGAAATCATCAATAAAACATTTAGCCAATGTTCCTTCTTGAATTTTCTCTCCTGTTCTTTGTGTTCATCTTGATCGAGTGTGTGCATTGTTGTGCGATCCTAACAAGATCTTGACGTAGAGTGGATTAATTAACTTTTTGAGTGGAAATAGCATCACGATGTTTCAGAATTAATTGGTGTTGCTTTTATCTCAAGCAAGTTTAACAGAGGATCTGAAGTCTTAGTTGTCTCTTATATATAAGAGGCTAAAATACTGTTTTTTTCCCATCACTTTGGTGGTTGTTTTATTTTCTACGCTTTGTAAGTGTCTAAAATTTGGGGAAAAATGAAACTTTGTTGCATTAATGAATAAAGAAAATGTTAACAGGACGGGGAGATCGGGATCCTCATAAACCGATAATCTAAAATGGATATTTTTTCCCATTTCTGATAGGAAACAAGATATGATGAAATGCTACGAAGGTAGGGATAACCAGTCTCAAGCTATAGAGATTTTCTAGAAACCCGAAGTTTCCCGAAAGAATTGATAAGGTGGATACGAATCAACTATGGCTTAAAATATCTTATACTTGAATAACAAGTAAAACAGAATTGTGGAGATCTGTTATTCCTAACATGGTACCAGAGTATGCCCTTAACTTAGCCATGTCAATAAATTCCTCAAATGTCGAACAAAGAAATTGTGAGCCTCAAAGATGTTGTCAAAAGTGACTCAAGTGTCGAATAAAGGGCATACTTTGTTCGAGGACTCCAGAGAAGGAGTCGAATCTCGATTAAGGGGAGGTTGTTTGAGGGCTCCATAGGCCTCTGGAGGTTCTATAGTATACTTTGTTCGAGGGGAGTATTGTTGAGGATTGTTGGGCGGGAGTCTCACATTGGCTAATTTAGGGAATGGTCATGGGTTTATAAGAAAGGAATACATCTCCATTGATATGAGGCCTTTTGGAAAAGCCCAAAGCAAAGCCATGAGAACTTATGCTCAAAGTGGTCAATATCATACCATTTTGGAGATCCGTGATTCCTAACAAGGTTCACAAATACTTCAGTTGTTTTTCACTATTTTCGCTCTTGAATGGTTATTTAAGAAAATTAACCAACTTTTTCGAACTAAAGGCTGGATATCCTATGCTATGGCTAATAGCATATTGACTATGTTTTCCTGGTTCTCTTACCTGTTTCCTGCATCTAAAAGGGTTCCCCCCTACATTATCTTGTTTACAGGTGCATCATGGAGGTGCTGGAACAACAGCTGCTGGACTAAAAGCTGCTGTAATGGCGTCGCATTCTAAAACTTGTCTTTTTTAGCACCACGTGATTGATTATTGCTAACTTTTATCATCTCTGTCTCTGTCTCCGTCTCTGTTCATTCTAGTGCCCAACCACGATCGTTCCTTTCTTTGGAGATCAACCGTTTTGGGGCGAGCAGGTACATGCTAGAGGAGTTGGTCCTTCACCCATCCCCGTTGAAGAGTTCTCGCTTAACAAGTTGGTGGATGCCATAAACTTCATGCTAGATCCAACGGTAATCTTTCTGCAAGTTGAACAAGTCTTGAACATATTATGCTTATTAAAATTATTGAAACCATGGGAAGCAGTCATTTAATTTAAGCAGATAGCCTTGGAAAGAAAAAGTTATTAATCTGGGGGTAGGTGCTGCACTTATCATCATTGGTTTATGAATCTTGGTTCATGTCCTGTCTGCTCATTTCTTATAGAAAAACATTCAGTGGAATGTTTGAACTGGCTTTGTCTTCATCTTTTTACCTTCGGTGAAATATTTCGTTTTAAGCAGTTAAATGACTATCTAATGTCTGGCCATACATCTGAAGACTTTGTAAACTGAACTTCGGACTTCCCATGAAAACTGTAACGGCCTAAGTCGACCGCTAGCAGATATTGTCCTCTTTGGACTTTCCTTTTCGGGCATCCCCAAGGTTTTTAAAACGCGTCTGTTAGGGAGAGGTTTCCATACCCTTGTAAAGAATGTTTCATTCTCCTTTCCAACTGATATGGGATCTCATGATACACCCCCCTCCGAAGCCCAGCGTCCTCGCTAGCACTTGTTCCTTATCCAATCGATGTGAGACCCCCAATCCACCCCCCTTTGAGGCTCAACGTCCTTGCTGGCACACCGTCTCGTGTCCAGCACATCGCCGGTGTCTGGCTCTGATACCATTTGTAACGGGCTAAGCCCACCGCTAGCAGGTATTGTTCTCTTTGGGCTTTTTCTTTCGGGCTTCCCCTCAAGGTTTTTAAAACGTGTCTGCTATGGAGAGGTTTCCACATCCTTATAAAGAATGTTTTGTTCTACTCACCCACTGGTGTGGGATCTGAAAGCAGCTAACTTTAAAAAGAAAAAGTTATTAATCCGGTGGTAGGTTCTCTACTTATCATCATTGGTTTGTGAATCTTGTTTCATGTCCTGTCTGCTCATTTCTTATAGAAAAACATTTAAGTGGAATGTTTGACCTGGCTTTGTTTTCATCTTTTTACCTTCGGTGAAATATTTCATCTTAAGCAGTTAAATGACTATCTAAGGTCTGCTTTGTCATGTTACGTATAGAAAATCACATTTGTAATCACCTAAGCCCACCGTTAATAGATATTATCCGCTTTGTCCTGTTACGTATTATTGTCAGCCTCACGGTTTTAAAACGCATATGTTAGGGAGAGGTTTCCATACCCTTATAAAAAAATGTTTCGTTCCCCTCTCCAACCGACGTGGGATCTCACAATCCACCCTCTTTGGGGGCCCAACGTCCTTGCTGGCACACCATCCGGTGTCTGGCTCTGATACCATTTATAACAGCCCAAGCCCACCATTAGCAGATATTGTCGGCTTTGACCCGTTACGTATCGCCGTCAGCCTTACGGTTTTAAAACGTATCACCGTCTGTTGGGAGAGGTTTTCACACCCTTATAAAAATGTTTCGTTCCCCTCTCCAACCGATGTGGGATCAAGACATATGTTTACAATTTTCAAATAATCATAGGTTTGAGGGAATCCTTTAACTAAAAGGAAAGAGAAATTATTACTATGGCGTTTAGTGTAATAAGGTGGAGAAACTCATCCATCAGAAGGAGAGAAAGTAACTCTAGGAAATTATGTATCATTCCAGGTAAAGAAGTCTGCTGTCGAGCTTGCCAAGGCCATGGAGAACGAGGATGGAGTAGAAGGAGCTGTGAAAGCCTTCTTCAAGCATTATCGTCCAAGAAAGACCGAACCGGAGTCAGAGCCAGAGGACTCGACCGTTTTCTCTATGCGTAGATGCTTTGGCTGTTCTTGATTCGATGGTGTGCGAGATATCCTCGACACAACCTTCCATTAACAGATATGGCATACCCCTCCTTTGAAACATGGGCAAATGTCCTGAGCAGTGGGGTATGTCATGAGGTAAATATTTATAATGTTGGTAATCTCTATATAGCCTGAGAATGGCGCTTTGCACATTTTTATTTGCTGTTATCAGTGTTCTTTCTAAGCATTTCACGTGTAATTTCATTCATCCCTTTCCCACTTTCAAATCTATATTTTTTGAGCTATCTGTTGTGATTGTGAAGTAAATATGTGCAGGTTTTTAGGTGATTTGTTTCAAATTATATATATATATATATATATATATATATATATATATATATATATATATATATATATATATATAT